TGAAATTGCCCAGCGGTTCTAGTGAAGAAGACAAAAATGTGAAAAGTTTACAGGCGGACAGATGGATGACAAACAAAATGTGATCAGAAAACCAGAAAAACTCAAGTGAGCTAAAAACTGATGATCACAAGTACTTGGAAAGAGTTACAGTATTTGAAAAGCAGTTTTTTTTTTCATGCATTGTTTTCAGAATCTGAAAAGGTATGACTTGTATCCATGTTGAAAAAACTTCACATTTCAGAAAACAGTATGATTAAAAATAGTTAATCAAGGTGCTTTGAGTAGCAAAATAAGCTAAACTGGTATAGCTAATTCAACCACAGAGCTTAGTGAATTTTAAAATGCACAACCTTTTCAACTCTTAATCATTCTTAAAATATTTATATCATCATTTCTGATTCAAGGGAGAACTAGAGATATGATCAGAAGTATATCTGTTGACTAATAAACATGTACATGTATATTGTGTTCTTTAAGTCATTAATGTTTGTTTGTTGTTAAATGTCCCTCTTGGGAATTTTTCACTCATATACGGAGACACCACCACTTAAAAATAATGAAGACGTACAAGTTGGATTTGAAGTTAACATTCATTTTAGGAGTTTTCAACAATTAAGATGTAAAGAGATAACTCCTTCCCCTTGCCCCTTCCCCTTCCTAGACCCCTGTTTGTTCATGTATGCAAACTAGTCTAATACTTTGGTTTGACATAAAAAAAAATGTGAATATATACAAATAGTTTAATGGTCCATCTCTTTGAATGATTTTCATTCCTAATTCTAGGAGGGTACATGGGTTGACCCAAATTCATGAATGAAATGTCAAGTAATCTTATCATTGATGCACTTTTATTTAATTTGATGTAGTCATATATTATGAACATTTTCAGTTCATTAAGAGAGTGGGGATGACCTCCAGGGGTTCATAACCTTAAACCATTAGATGTACATAACATAATAACACAAGAAACAAAATTATGTATAGTCAAATGGAAAAGTTTTCTACTATTTAGGAGTCACATGATCATTTGTCATTTCAGGGACAGGGAGCGGCTAGGGAGATTGGAACCCCCCCCCCCCCTGGAATTTGCAGAGTTATTTAAATAGGACTATATACTGATTTACAGAAGCAAATAAAAAATGACTTTAAATGCCCTCCCCCTTTAAAAACATGGACCCCACCATCATTGTTTTTATTTTGTTTGTTTGTTTGGTTTTTTGGTTTTTTTTTTTTTTTTTGCTCCTCAGGAAATTCTGGGCTGGAATTTTTTTTGACTGAGGTGTGGACACCCCCCCCCCCCCCCGGAAAAAGATTCCCGGATCTGTGCCTGTAACTGAATGTAATGTCGACAACGGGAGATAACTCTTCAGAATGTGAAATTCGTATATTGTGGCATCCGATGATCCACTCTCTACCATCGGCTCATACATTCAGTGTCTGAGAGAGAAACGAACGACAACTCTGCATAGGAGATTGCCGATGATCTTTGATCCTTTTTAAACTTTAACCTAACCATTTGCATTTCGGTTTATTTTACCCCAATCTATACTTAAACTTGTACTTACCGACTGTCATAGGTCCTGTCAACTTCATGAAATATAATCCAATTAAAACACAAAATGAATTAATTTCCACTGATATACATGTAACACTGCACCACACCATGTCACATGGCATGTGCAATCTAAAAATGATAATGGTAAAACTAGTACTAGTACTGGTAGGGTGACGCAAGCCCAATGTGATGTAGAAATTTTCAAAAAAGTGTTCACATACATGTACAATACAAGAACAAATTTTAAATTATCATAACAAACGATGTTTTAACATAACTTTGACATCTAAGCCTATTTCCAAAAACAGGCAAATTGTGTGTGTGTGTTGGGGGGGAGGGGGGGGGTGAGAAAATTGATTGGGTATGGCTTTTCAAGGAGGTTTTTGCCTAATCAAATACTAAAAAAAGTTTGCACATTTTGATAAATTCATCAAAAACGTTTTGTACTAAAATAATATTATTTGTTGTTGAGAAAATAAATTTGAAAAGTTCCAATTATGGGCCAAAAATTTATATCTCCCCCCCCCCCTTTTATCAAAACCTAATTTACATCATTAATTAAATTCTGTTATTTCAGACTGGTAATGAATTAAGTATATGAAATGCGTATAAGAGATTCATGGGTCACATGGTCACCTGAGCATTTTATGCTCGATTTGACGAATACATGTACTGTGTAAATTATAGAATTGTTTGGACTTTTTCCTTGGTAAGCCCAATATGAAGGAGTGTGTATTTAGAGGCAAACACCTTAGTGCGGGTATTCCTGTCTCATGACAGCATCTAGTATTGATCTGGAAGCATTCTTGTGTTGTCTTGATTCAGATTTGTTCAAATAATGACCCCCGGTAGGATGAGGATATCATGGGGTATCAAAGTTTCAATTAGGATTATTTAAGAAAAAACTGGGAAAATCTTCTCAAGAATAGCAAATCCATGATTAGTCATTTTGAAATGGAAGCATCCTCAGGCAATATAGATTCAAGTTTGTTCAAATCTTGAACCCCTGGGGGTAAGGTGGGGTCACTATGGGGGATCAAAGTTTTCCATAAGAATATATAGGAAAAAACCTCCTCAAGAACAGAAAAGCTATGATTAGTCATATTTTATGTAAGCATCCTCAGGTATTGTAGATTCAAGTTTGTTCAAATCATAAACCCTGGGAGTAGGGAGGGCCACAATGGAGGATTATTATTTTTTTTACAAAGGAATATATAGGGAAAAATCTTTAAAAATTTCCTGCTCAAGAACAGCAAAGCCATTTATTATATTGATATGGAAGCATCCTTAGGTAGCTTAAAATTCAAGCCCCACCCCCACTAAAACTTTTCAATACTGAACTGATTTTTGCTTTTTTCCTATGCAGTGTGCTCAGGTGAGCGATGTGGCCCATGGGCCTCTTGTTTTATAAATAAAGATTCTAAAGATTGAGAATCAAGCTAAAAGACAAACTTGAATTAATTTCATGAAAATTATAACGGTCATTGAATAGAACGTCCCAAGAATTTACTCCTGATTTTGATGCAAAATGATTGTGTTACCCCTTTGCTTGAAGACAATTGGACTGATCCAGTAGTGTAGAAACGCAGAAAAAACGATCACACCGACAGGGCCTTTTGTAAATGGTATTGAATAAAGAGTTGCATACAAGGAAACTAAGGAAAGTAAAAACATCTATATGTTTTATCAGTAATATAATTGTTTCTTCTATTGACTTTTCTTGTTATAAAACAGGTTAGAAATTCCTATGTAATCAGCCTGTACAAAATTTAGCTTCGCACCTCGGAAAAAATTGTCCTTATACTGCATGATGCACGCGGTGTAAAAACATGAAGATCATTTGAAGGTGATAAGTGTGATTAGAGGAAGAGTCTTCCTCGGAAGAAGAATGTTCAGGTTTACATTAGATGGAAATATACAATTTTTCTGGCCCAAAGATTTGTTATGCAGAAATGTAGGGAGCTCCTGTAATAGTGGTTCTAAGGCTGAATCGATATTTTTGGTAAATCATAAAGTGTTAAAGGGAATGTCAACAAAACAAATATATGGGAATATGTTGTCGTCATTTTATTAGCTATAAACAATTGTGTTTATTGCTAATTATCCCCATGCAAGAAAATAAAAGGGAATAGAGTAACGCACGTGTGTTTGTGGGTGCGTTATAATTGCTAATTTCAAAATTAAGAGTTGAATTAAAAGTTCTTGTGCATACATTGTGAAGATGACAGCGATCATTCTCAAAAATGTACAAGAAAATATTCTTGTTGAATATTTCACCTATAGAGTCATATTCAATTTCACAAATATACCTTTTAACATGTAATTATGGAGTATGTATACCTCATCAATACATGTTTCTGTCACACATAATGCACCATTAACCGACACCGTTCACGATGCCAAACAATGATAAAGTTGTTCTATTTCATTACTTAAAATTTCCATTGAAAGGGGATGGGAGACAGGGGCCCGTTTTACAAAAGAACTTACGACTAAGACCAAAATTTAATTCTGCTAATAACTTTCTAATTTACATTAAATAGAAAATGGTTTTAATATTTTTAAAAGGTATGTAGAAAGATACTTTTACGCTAGCAATTTTAAACAGAATAATTAATTTTGCAAAATTTTACAATCAAATGAAGTTTTTGGTCTGAGTCGTAAGTTCTTTTGTAAAACGGGCCCCGGACTCGGAGCTCATATTTTATAGAATTTTCTAAATAATAACATGACTATGTTTCACATCGAAATATATTAAAATATGTTTAGAAACTTCTTTTAATAGGACGTTATTAAATCTACTAATTCCTGGACTCGTTTGATTGACACAAACATATCCTTGCACTTTAACAAAGTTAACTTTATCAAAAATACTTAAGAATAGTAGAAATTTTGTTGTGTTTTAATGAAAAATATGAAAACTATAATCCAAAAAGGTCAGAGTGGAAATGTGAGAAAATAAAACCAACTCAAAAATAGTTCGTGCTCAGTATCATTTCGTGCTCAGTGATGTATGCAGGCTAAACAAATTGAACACACTCTGTAAAGCGTAAATACTAACAATAACTGATATCGTGCCCTGTTTACAAACACAGCTGTTCGACGTGATATTATGAACAATGTCGTTGTCATTGAATTCTAAGAATATTACTGTCAAATTAATTCATTAAACTGAAATGATTTGAATAAGCATAGAAATTTAAAATATTATCAATGCACCTGTGTCAAGGGCCCTTTAATCTAAAAATATAACTAACCAATCATGTATTGAAAATATGTTAATAACTTAAGCAAATGTAAAATATAGGATGCCTAAATTAAAGGTGACACAACTTGGTATTATATGTTTAGAGCAGGGTTGCTTTGTTTTGGGGAAGAAATCAATATTTTGGTTTAATAACTGATCCTAATCATTTTAATTCTGATCTTTATTATGAATTTACAGTAAATTCATCAAACCAAAAACAACGCTTTAAGGTTAGAATTGAAGAAAAATGTCAGAGTCAAAACATTCCAAAACCTCGTGTAGAATTATCAGATGAGATGAAATCTCTGGATATTGATGACCCAGGGGATAATGAAGAAGACACTGCTAGCGAGGCCGCTACTGATAAAGAGATGTCACGTGACAGCATGAACACAGAAGCCGAGTCAATCAAAGGAGATGAAGCCACTGCTCCATTGTTTGAAAAGACAGAGAAAAAAGTTGAAGAAACTCAAACTTCTGCTAAAAATTCAGAAAGTTGGGGAATTTTACGAGTCTCCAAACAAGTTTTTGATGAACCAGAGAAAAAAATCTCCATGGTTGACTTTGCGGGGCAGTGTTCATATTATTCCTCACACCAGATTTTTCTGAGTCCACGTGCATTCTTCATTCTGGTGCTCAATATGGAGAAAAAGTTTAATGAAATGGTTGGAGAAGAAGTGTGTAGCCAGGAACGCTCCATTTATAAAGGATGGACTTACAGAGGTTTGTGAAAGTAACATAAATTACATACTACTTACCTAATACTGATTAAAACAAACATAAAACATCTAATAAATGCACCAGTGCACATTGATTTTCATATAAAGTTTACGAGACTGCAATTTAAAAGTTAAAAAAATAGCTGCATTTATTCACTGGTATTGACTTACGGAGGATATTTACCCTTCTTCTTTTAAAGTTTTAAAGTGCATACAGTGTGAACTTTTTAGCTCACCTGAGCCGAAGGCTCAAGTGAGCTTTTCTGATCAAAATTTGTCCCTTGTCTGTCGTCGTCGTCGTCAGCGTTGTTGTTGTTGTCGTTGTAAACTTTTCACAATTTCATCTTCTTCTCCAGAACTACTGGGCCAATTTCAACCAAACTTGGCACAGAGTATCCTTGGGTGAAGGGGATTCAAGTTTGTTCAAATGAAGGGCCACGCCTTCTTCCAAGGGGAGATAATCATGAATTCATGAAAAATTAATGGCATCATTTAAAAATCTTCTTCTCAAGAACCACTGTGCTTGAAAATATGAAACTTATATGGAAGCATCCTCAGGTAGTGTAGATTCAAGTTTGTTCAAATCATGACCCCTGGGGGTAGGGTGGGGCCACAATGAGCGATCAAAGTTTTACATAGGTATATATAGGAAAATTCTTTAAAAATCTTCTTCTCAAGAACAGCAAAGCCATGATTGGTCATATTTATATGGAAGCATCCTCAGGTAGTGTAGATTCAAGTTTGTTCAAATCATGACCCCTGGGGGTAGGGTGGGGCCACAATGAGCGATCAAAGTTTTACATAGGTATATATAGGAAAATTCTTTAAAAATCTTCTTCTCAAGAACAGCAAAGCCATGATTGGTCATATTTATATGGAAGCATCCTCAGGTAGTGTAGATTCAAGTTTGTTCAAATCATGACCCCTGGGGGTAGGGTGGGGCCACAATGAGCGATCAAAGTTTTACATAGGTATATATAGGAAAATTCTTTAAAAATCTTCTTCTCAAGAACAGCAAAGCCATGATTGTCATATTTATATGGAAGCATCATCAGGTAGTGTAGATTCAAGTTTGTTCAAATCATGACCCCCGGGGGTAGGGTGGGGCCACAATGAGCGATCAAAGTTTTATTTAGGAATATATAGGAAAACTCTTTAAAAATCTTCTTCTCAAGAACAGCAAAGCCATGATTGGTCATATTTATATGGAAGCATCCTCAGATAGTGTAGATTCAAGTTTGTTCAAATCATGACCCCCGGGGATAGGGTGGGGCCACAATTGGCGATCAAAGTTTTACATAGGAATATATAGGACAAATCTTCAAAAAATCTTCTTCTCAAGAACAGCAAAGCCATGATTGGTCATATTTATATGGAAGCATCCTCAGGTAGTTAGATTCAAATTTGTTCAAATCATGACCCCTAGGGGTAGGGTGGGTCCACAATGGGCGATCAAAGTTTTACATAGGAATATACGCAGGTGAGTTAAGGCTAAATATAGGCATTTCTATGCAAATAATCTAATTAAAATGCCTAAGGACTATATCTATTATACAGAGAAAGTTAAAACTTATTGTCTAATACATACTTGATACCCACGACATGAGATAGCCAGTACATTGCATAGTTCAAAGATCAAAGTTTTACATAAAATACATAGGAAAAATTTGTAAAAATCTTTTTCTCAAGAACAGCAAAGCCATGATTGGTTTTTAGCTCACCTGAGCCGAAGGCTCAAGTGAGCTTTTCTGATAGAAATTTTTCCATTGTCTGTCGTCGTTGTCGTTGTTGTTGTCGTCGTTGTAAACTTTTCACATTTTCATCTTCTTCTCAAAAACCACTGGGCCAATTTCAATCAAACTTGGCACAAAGTATCCTTGGGTGAAGGGAATTCAAGTTTGTTCAAATGAAGGGCCACGCCCTTTTTCAAGAGGAGATAATTACAAAATAGCAAAAAATTAATGGCATCATTGAAAAATCTTCTTCTCAAGAAACAATGGGCTAGGAAAGATGAAACTCATATGGAATCATTGTCAGGTAGTGTAAATTCAAATTTGTTCAAATCATGACCCCCTGGGGTAGGGTGGGGTCACAATGGACGGTCAAAGTTTTACATAGGTATATATAGGAAAATTCTTTAATAATCTTCTTCTCAAGAACAGTAAAGCCATGATTGGTCATATTTATATGGAAGCATCCTCAGGTAGTGTAGATTCAAATTTGTTCAAATCATGACCCCCGGGGGTAGGGTGGGGCCACAATGGACGATCGAAGTTTTACATAGGAGTATATAGGACAAATCTTCAAAAAATCTTCTTCTCAAGAACAGCAAAGCCATGGTTGGTCATATTTATATGGAAGCATCCTCAGATAGTGTAGATTCAAATTTGTTCAAATCATGACCCCCTGGGGTAGGGTGGGGCCACAATGGACGGTTTTACATAGGAATATATAGAAAAAATCTTTAAAAATTTTCTTCTTAAGAACAGCAAAGCTATGATTGGTTATATTT